GGGGGGGGGGCGCTCCTCCTCCGCGGGCCAGATAAGTGCCCTTGGCAGGCCAGAAGTGGCCCGCGGGCCGTAGTTTGAGGACCCCTGGATTAAACCATGGAGTAAAGGTTCTAAAAGTATTCATGACACATTGCTACTGATCACTTTTCTGTTTCACTTCATGCTCCTCACATATATACATTTGCTCCTGCTCAATGAAGCTCTGAAATCGGTCTCCAATAATGCAAACGACACACTGCACCGCACGTAAAGCTATGCTATCAACGAACCTCTCTCCGTGAAGCAGCTGGCAGGCACTGTCAGCCAGGTTCATCAGGGATTTCTTCATCTCCTTTTGCAGCTCCTCAAAGGTGAGCTGAGCTTCTTCCAGGTACCTCTCCCAGTTCTGATTGACAGGAAGATAGGAGACTCCCATTTCCAGCATTCCTGCAAATGTCACAGGATGGGGGCATCTAGGGCAGAGACAGAAAGAGAATCATCTACAAATGGCAAATCATTTCACTGGCTGCTCCTGGACAGCACTTTTCAAACCTTAGACACACAACCTATCTATCTATCTATCTATCTGTCTGTCTGTCTGTCTGTCTGTCTGTCTGTCTGTCTATCTATCGATGTCTATGTATATAATAAAAGTCAGTGTTTGTATGCGGAGGGAGGACGGTGTATGTGGCAGATTTCTGATTGGCTGCCACTTTCACAGGCCACTGTGACCAGCATGGGTGACGGACCTGGATCAAACTTGGCACACATAACCCCCATGACTCCCTTTACATCCTGGTGAGGTTTGGGGGAGGATGGACAAAGGTTAATGGGATTCATAGAATCATAGAATCAAAGAGTTGGAAGAGACCTCATGGGCCATCATCCAGTCCAACCCCATTCTGCCAAGAAGCAGGAATATTGCATTCAAATCACCCCTGACAGATGGCCATCCAGCCTCTGCTTAAAAGCTTCCAAAGAAGGAGCCTCCACCACACTCCGGGGCAGAGAGTTCCACTGCTGAACGGCTCTCACAGTCAGGAAGTTCTTCCTCATGTTCAGATGGAATCTCCTTTCTTGTAGTTTGAAGCCATTGTTCCATTGCGTCCTAGTCTCCAAGGAAGCAGAAAACAAGCTTGCTCCCTCCTCCCTGTGGCTTCCTCTCACATATTTATACATGGCTATCATATCTCCTCTCAGCCTTCTCTTCTTCAGGCTAAACATGCCCAGCTCCTTAAGCCGCTCCTCATAGGGCTTGTTCTCCAGACCCTTGATTTGTAGTACTTTCAAGCCCATCGGTTCCCACAGACAACTGTGGCCCCCAACAAAGACTGATAAAGAGCAAACTTGGCACACAGAGCCCCCATGACCCACACTACATCCTACTGCAGTTTGGAGGAGGGCAGACCATGGATGATGGGACTTGAAGTACCTCCACTCACTTCCCAAGACCATTGCGACCCTCATCCAATGACCAATTAAGACCAAACTTGGCACACATAACCTCCATGACCCCCTTTACGTCCTGGTGAGGTTTGGGGGAGGATGGACAATGGATGATAGGATTTGTAGTACCTTCCCACCCTTCAGTTCCCACAGACTACTGCAGCCCCCAACAAAGACCAATAAAGACCAAACTTGGCACACAAAAGCCCTCATGACCCACTCTACATCCTGGTGCGGTTTGGAGGAGGATGGACCACGGATGATGGGACTTGAAGGACCTTCACTCACTTCCCGAGACCGCTGTGACCCTCATCCAATGACTGATTAAGACCAAACTTGGCACACAGAGCCCCCATGACCCACGCTACATCCTGGCACTGTTTGGAAGCGGATGAACCATGGACGATGGGACTTGCAGTACCTTCACTAACTTCCTGAGAGCACTGTGAGTCACAAAAATGACTGATAAAGACCAACCTTGGCACACAATGCCTTTCTCAAATTACCCAGGCAGTGCCGGGTCCCCAAGCTACTTCAAAATATAAATAAGTGGCTCCTAGCACACTGTCATACACCAAAGCAATGTCAATACACAAATGTCCTATTGCTATAAACTTTAGCAAAAATACCAATTGGAATAATGAGGAAAATGCTAAACTAGCTCGTATAGTACACAAGCGCGGGAAACAAACACATAGGGACTATTTACAACTGTGTAACAAACATAATATTCATGTGATAAAAAATCTTGGGAATGCAACAAGGTTCCTGGGTGTTTATAGTCCTTGTTTCAGGAGGAGTATCCCTTCTTCAGGTTTCTTTCAAGGTTTCTTCATTCGTTTGAAATAATATCTTCTGAGGCTTTATAAACTAAATTTAAAGAAGACAAAATAATAGATATGCACCCAGTTAAACAAGGACTACACCTGTCCACACGACCTTTGGAAGATCTGACTAATTATTTTGGAAAACATTAATATTATGTATTGTCGAAGGCTTTCATGGCTGGAATCACTAGGTTCTTGTGGGTTTTTTCGGGCTATAGAGCCATGTTCTAGAAGCATTTCTCCTGACGTTTCGCCTGCATCTATGGCAAGCATCCTCAGAGGTAGTGAGGTCTGTTGGAATTAGGACAATGGGTTTATATATCTGTGGAATGGCCAGGGTGGGACAAAGAACTCTTGTCCCCCCTCTCCCCCCTTCTCTCTCCCTCTCCCCCTCCCTCTCCCTCTTCCCCTCCTTCTCCCTCTTCCCCTCCCTCTCCCTCTTCCCCTCTGCAGCTAGGTGTGAATGTTCAAATGATCAACATATTTGCCTTCATATGCTAATGAAGGTGATCAGTTAAACATTCACACCTAGCAGACAAAAGTCCTTTGTCCCACCCCAGTCATTCCACAGATATATAAAACCATTTTCCTATTTCCAACAGACCTCACTACCTCTGAGGATGCTTGCCATAGATGCAGGCGAAACGTCAGGAGAAATGCCTCTAGAACATGGCTCTATAGCCTGAAAAAACCCACAAGAACCTATTAATATTATGTTTGTTACGCCGTTGTAAATAGTCCCTATGTGTTTGTTTCCCACGCTTGTGTACTATACGAGTTAGTTTGGTATTTTCCTCATTATTCCAATACATATACATAGGAAAATGTCTTAACAATTTCTCACCTCTCCAGGAAAAGTGGAAGCTGCTCCTGGCATACTTCATGAGTTGCTAAGACATCATGAGCACAGTATCTCATCAGATCCTTTGGAGGAATAAAAGAAATGTAAGACAACTTATGAAAGTTTTATTTTTTAAATCATGTCAGAAGCGACTTGAGAAACCGCAAGTTGTTTCTAATATGAGAGAATTGCCCGTTTGCAGAGACATTGTCCAGGGAATGCCTGGATGTGTTACTATCCTGTGGGAGGCTTCTCTCATGTCCCTGAATGGGAAGCTGGAGCTGAGAGATTTTATTTTATTTATTTATTGCAGTTACTTATACCCCGCCCTTCTCACCCCCGTGGGGGGACTCAGGGCGGCTTACAAACAAAGGCACAAATTCGATGCCTGTCAAAATATACAGCATATATAAAACAGTATAAACATTTAACAGAATTAAAACACATCACTACATAATATAATAAAAACAATTTCATGCACAGTGATTCAGAGTTCCGAAATGTCCATTCATTCCAACAATTCCTGCTCATCAATGGGTCCTTATTTTAGCTGCCAGAATGTCCAAAAGCTTGGTCCCAGATCCAGGTCTTCAGTTTTTTTCTGAACGACAGAAGGGAGGTCGCTGATCTGATCTCCCCGGGGAGTGAGTTCCATAGGTGAGGGGCCACCACCGAGAAGGCCCTGCTCCTCGTCCCCGCCAGCCTCACTTGTGATAGAGGCGGGGTCGAGAGCAGGGCCTCCCCAGAAGATCTTAAACTCCGAGGTGGGACGTAGAGGGAGATCCGTTCGGACAAATACACTGGGCCGGAACCGTATAGGGTTTTGTAGGTTAAAACCAGCACTTTGAATTGTGCTCGGAATTGGATCGGCAGCCAGTGAAGCTGACACAACAAGGGGTGGTGTGCTCCCTGTGTGCTGCTCCAGTGAGCAACCTGGCTGCCTCTCGCTGGACTAGCTGGAGTTTCCGAGCAGTTTTCAAAGGCAACCCCACGTAGAGTGCGTTGCAGTAATCCAATCGGGATGTAACAAGAGCGTGGACCACCGTGGCCAGATCTGACTTCCCAAGGTACGGGCGCAGCTGGCGCACAAGTTTTAATTGTGCAAAAGCTCTCCCGGCCACCGCCGAGACCTGGGTTCCAGGCTCAGCGATGAGTCCAGGATCACTCCCAAGCTGCGAACCTGCGTCTTCAGGGGGAGTGTAACTCCGTCTAACACAGGCTGTACACCCCATCTTGCAGATTCAAACAGCTGATCTTCAGATCAGCAGTTCAGCCGGTACAAGGGTTTAACCCGTTGCACCACCGTGGCTCCACTTATGAAAGATCAAAGTGCAAACTAGCTTGTAGTGATTCACACTCTCAGGCCCCTTCCACACAGCTGTATGAAATCCACACTGAACTGGATTATATGGCAGTGCGGACTCAGATAGCCCAGTTCAAAGTAGATATTGTGGATTATCTGCCTTGATATTCTGGGTTATATGGCTGTGTGGAAGGGCCCTAGTTAGCCTAGGCCAGTAATAGTAGTAGTAGTAGTAATAGCAATAATAATAATAATAATAATAATAATAATAATAATAATAATTATTATAGTAAGTTTTTCTTCTGACAGGAAAAATCAATATAGAAATGTAAGTTTGATACCTAACATCCTTTTTAGACCCTATCTGCATTTTGTGGCACTGAATTTTGTAGGACCAAGCCTTTGGGGCAGTGCAGCGAGGCAAAATGGTGTCCTGAGATGGTTTTTAAGCCATTTTAATGTGAATATAAGTGATTTTAATGTTTGTATATATTTATGGTTTTATGTCCCGGCATTGAATGTTTGCCGTATATATGTTGCGCTCCGCCATGAGTCCCCTGCGGGGTGAGAAGGGCAGAACATAAACGTTTTAAATAAATAAATAATAAATAAATAAATAAATTCATAAAAGGCTTTCCCACTTTACAGACTATCAACATGCAACCAGTATCTACGTTTCACAATGTCTCATCCTGCCTTGATAATTTCTGCCTCTCATGACACTAAACACCATTGGATCCCTTTGGACCCAGAATAATGGATTCAACCTGTATAATTCTCTCCCACCTGGAAGTTATTCCTGATGTCCGCCATGCTGCCCTTGACAAAGAGTTCCCGGGCTTCTTTCTCTAGCGGCCGGCCTCCCACATATAAGGCATGCACATCTGCTAGGTTATTGATGCTGCTAATGTTCACCCAGTCCCAGGAGGAAATCTGCAAAGTGATAAAGCAGGAAGAGAATGAACATGTATAGCATGTAATCATTAATTTCTCTATGTATGCATTTTTATCTTTTACAATTTAGCTTGTAATCGCCTAGAGCATCTCGGATGGAGGGCGATTAATAAGTAATTAAAGATGAGGATGAGATGATGATGATGTAGGCAGGGCCGGCCCTAGGTAATTTTCAAGTGTAAGCAAACAATATTTTATCATGACTGCATGGAGCATCATTACCTTCCCGTGAGGCTTCTCTCACAGACTAAGGCCTACCTCACACAGAGATTTCTCTCACAGACTAAAGCCTACCTCACACAGAGGCTTCTCTCACAGACTAAGGCCTACCTCCCACTGAGGCAAACTAACAGAAAGTCCTACTAAGCTGGTACCTAAGTGGTACCTATTGATCTACTCACATTTATATTTTTTGAACTGCTAGGTTGGCAGAATCTGGGCCTAACAGCGGGAGCTTGCCTCACTTCCATGGATCTGAACTGCCAACTTTTTGGTCGGCAAGTTCAGCAGCTCAGCAGGGAGCCCCTTTCTCAAAGGATGGATGACGATTAATGATAATGGCGGGGACGAGAGATAGGGCCTTCTCGGTGGTGGCTCCTCAGCTGTGGAATACCCTCCCCGTGGACATCAGACTAGCTCCCTCCCTGATGATATTCCGCAGGAAATTAAAGACCTGTCTGTTTAAGAAGGTGTTTGAACAAGAAGTGCAATGATTGGTAATTAACCATAGGAATGGAACAACGGAAAATGACTTGGCCACGGTAGTCCACGCTCTGGTTACATCCCGTTTAGACTACTGCAACGCTCTCTACGTGGGGTTGCCTTTGAAGACAGCTCGGAAGCTCCAACTAGTCCAACGCTCGGCAGCCATGATTTTAACAGGAGCGGAGCGCAGGGAGCATACAACCCCCCTGTTGCGCCAACTCCACTGGCTACCGATCTGCTACCGGGCTGAATTCAAAGTGCTGGCGTTGGCCTTTAAAGCCCTAAACGGTTCCGGCCCAAGCTACCTATCTGACCGCATCTCTGCCTATGAACCCACCAGGACTTTGAGATCTTCCGGGGAGACCCTGCTCTCGATCCCGCCTGCTTCTCAAGCTCGGCTGGCGGGGACGAGAGATAGGGCCTTCTCGGTGGTGGCTCCTCGGCTGTGGAACGCCCTTCCTACGGACATTAGACTAGCACCATCTCTAATGGTATTCCGCAAAAAAGTGAAGACCTGGCTGTTTGAGCAGGCGTTCGAATAATTAGTGCAATGATTGGTTAATGAACACTGGAACGGAACAATGGATGACGAATCTGGAACATGTTTTTGATGACGAGACGACAGTGAATGGGTATTGTAGTAACTGTTTATTAATTGTGTCATGTGTTAGGTTGTTAACTGTTTCTATACTGTAGCGCTGAATTTTTGCTGTTCATATTTGTTGTGAACCGCTGTGAGTCGCCTTCGGGCTGAGAACAGCGATATATAAGTAAGGTAAATAAATAAATGATTCTGGATTGTGGTTTTGACGATGAGACGACACGGAATGGCTTTTGTAGTAATGATGATGTTTTTGATGAGGATGTTTTTTGATATTGATGAACTGTGGATTATTTTATACTGCGTCTTGTATTTTGCACCTTGTTTTTCTATGTTGTACACCGCAGTGAGTCGCCCCTGGGCTGAGAATTGCGGTATATAAGCAAAGTAAATAAATAAATAAATAAATAATGATAATAACAACACTTTATTTATATGCCACCACCATCTCCTATAGGGACTTGGGACAGCTTACAAAATAGCACATGATGGTGCCATACAACAGATAAAATGCAAGGCAATACATCAACAATTAAAAAAATATATATCAATAACAGATTTACATTAAGCAGGTGAGAAGGAGGAAGTGGCACAATGCCTCTTTCAAATCACTTTCTACTCTGGAAAAAAAAGCCGAAGAAGCCCTTTTGTCTCTCTGCAACTGAATGTGCTCTTAATTAGCACTGCTCATGTACACACCCCACAGATATCTGACTGGGGTTACAGAGAAGTGACAACGTTTGGATTGGATCAAAGAAGGAAAGGCAAGTGCAAGCTCATACAACCCCTTTGTTACGCCAGCTCCACTGGCTGCCAATCCACTACCAAGAACAATTCAAAGTACTGGCTTTAGCCTAAAGAGGCCTAAACAGTTCTGGCCCAGCTTACCTGTATGAACGTATCTCCCTCTATGAACCAACAAGGAGATTAAGATGTTCTGGGAGGCCCTGATCTTGGTCCTGCCTCTTTCGCAGGTGCAACTGGTGGGGACGAGACACAGGGCCTTCTCAGTGATGGCCCCTCATCTATGGAACTCCCTCCCCAATGAAATTTGATCAGCCCCCTCCCTCCTGGCCTTCAGAAGAAAAGTGAAAACGTGGCTTTGGAATCATGCCTTCGGAGAATAATTGTAGTGCAATAATAGATATAGAATATATGAAATGACTACTGGAACAGCCCCAGATTACGATTGTGGGTTGCGTGTTTTGAATAGCAAAAGCAATTATTTTAAATTGGCCTATAAAGCCCTAAACGGTTCCGGCCCAAGATACCTATCTGACCGCATCTCGGCCTATGAACCCACCCGAACTTTGAGATCTTCCGGGGAGGCCCTGCTCTCGATCCCGCCAGCCTCTCAAGCACGGTTGGCGGGGACGAGAGATAGGGCCTTCTCGGTGGTGGCTCCTCGGCTGTGGAACGCCCTTCCTGTAGATGTTAGGCTGGCACCATCTCTCATGACATTCCGTAGAAAGTTGAAGACCTGGATGTTTGTGCAGGCGTTTGAGTAATTCAGTGCAATTCTGGTAATTTGAACATAGGAACGGAACAATGACGTCGAATCTGGATCACGCTTGGATGATGAGGTGATCGGGGGTGGGTTTTGTGATTATGGTATATTGATGTTTGTCTATTAGCTAGTAATGGAAATGTGTAATTTAACTGTTGTGGTATGTTAATTATTGCTGTTTTTATTGTCTTTGTTGTTTGCTGTCAGGAAACCGCTGTGAGTCGCCCTCGGGCTTGAGATACAGCGGTATACAAGAATAGTAAGTAAGTAAATAAATAAATAAATAAATGTTTTAATGTGCATTAATTCTAATTTTAATTTAAATGTTTGTTTTAATTGTATGTCGTTTAAGGCATTGAATAGTTGCCTCTATGTAAATCCACCTTGACTCCCTTTCAGGGTCGAGAAAGACCGGGTACAAGCCTTTAAAAATAGAAAAAGAAAAAGGTACATTCTACCACACATGGTGGACTTGCAGCAAAGTAAAAAATTACTGGAAACAGATCCATGTATATCTTGAAAAAATGTTAAACACAATTTCAAAATGACACCTCAAATGTACCTTTTGAATATGCCCGAGGAAGAATTAGAAAGAAAATTTGGAAAAAAATTGTTTTACACAACAGTGGCAGCTAGAATAGTATATGCTAGATACTGGAAAACTCCAGAAGTACCTCCTTTAGAAGAATGGGAAAAATATATTATAGATATGTTGATAATGGACAAAATAACTGTATTATTAAGAGGAGAAATATTAGACAACTTCGTTAATGAATGGCAACCAATGATCCAACACCTTAACGTAAAGTTAAATTAAAAATGTATATAGAGGATCCTATAAGACTGTAGACAAGGAAGAAGTGGATGTAAAGTAAGAATCTATGATATCTTTTTATGTATTATTTAGATAGTAGACTGTGACCCCTTAATAGAAATATATTATCAGATAAATTATAGAACATTAATAGATAGAAAGTATTGCACTGTATGCAACAAACACTTGCAAATGTATGTTTACTTAAATAAAATAAAAATAATTTAAAAATATAAATATAAGGTAAAGGTAAAGGGCAAGATGGATGGCATGCTTGAAGTGACTGGCTTGACTCTGAAGGAGCTGAGGGAGGTGACGGCCAACAGGGAGCACTGGTGTGGGCTGGTTCATGAGGTCATGAAGAGTTGGAAACGACTGAACGAATGAACAGCAACAAAGGTAAAGGTTTTCCCCTGAAATTAAGTCCAGTTGTGTCCGACTCTGGGGTATGGTGCACATAGAATCATAGAATCAAAGAGTTGGAAGAGACCTCCTGGGCCATCCAGTCCAACCCCATTCTGCCAAGAAGCAGGAATATTGCATTCAAATCACCCCTGACAGATGGCCATCCAGCCTCTGTTTAAAGGCTTCCAAAGAAGGAGCCTCCACCACACTCCGGGGCAGAGAGTTCCACTGCTGAACAGCTCTCACAGTCAGGAAGTTCTTCCTAATGTTCAGATGGAATCTCCTCTCTTGTAGTTTGAAGCCATTGTTCCATTGCGTCCTAGTCTCCAAGGAAGCAGAAAACAAGCTTGCTCCCTCCTCCTCCCTGTGGCTTCCTCTCACATATTTATACATGGCTCTCATCATATCTCCTCTCAGCCTTCTCTTCTTCAGGCTAAACATGCCCAGCTCCTTAAGCCGCTCCTCATAGGGCTTGTTCTCCAGACCCTTGATCATTTTAGTCGCCCTCCTCTGGACACATTCCAGCTTGTCAATATCTCTCTTGAATTGTGGTGCCCAGAATTGGACACAATATTCCAGATGTGGTCTAACCAAAGCAGAATAGAGGGGTAACATCTCCATTTCTAAGCCGAAGAGCCGCCGTTGTCCGTAGACACCTCCACGGTCATTGTCCGTAGACACCTCCACGACTGCATGGAGCGCTGTTACCTTCCCACCTGAGCGGTACCTATTGATCTACTCACATTCGCATGTTTTCGAACTGCTAGGTTGGCAGAAGCTGAGGCTGACAGCAGAAGCTCACGCCGCTACCCAGATTCGAACCTGAGACCTTTCGGTCAACAAGCTCAGCAGCTCAGCGGTTTAACCCACTGCACCACCGGGGGCTCCAAAAATATAATATATAAATATAAATAGGGTAAATAAATAAATCCTCCACTTCTTATTCAACTTACGGTGGAGCCACCCGTTTTACTGCGTGTTTTCTTGATGTGCTCCTGGACCTGTTGCTGCCCTCTCCTCTTGCCTTGCCTTGCCGCCATCCAAAGGCTGCGCTGGAACCCCGTCAGTCCCGAGATAGCCATGTGCATACTCATTGTGTCCAGGAAACGCATCCGAGAGCCCTGGAATGGGTGTTGAAAGGACACACAAACAACATTTGAATCTATTGTCGAAGGCTTTCATGGCCGGAATCACTAGGTTCTTGTGGGTTTTTTCGGGCTATATGGCCTTCTGTATCATACAAACTATGTCAGTTTGATCAATGGATGTTTGAGTATCTGCTATATATTTAAAATAGTTTTCTAATATCATTTGAACAATAGACTCTTCCCAAGGCTGTCTTTCCAAAAGTATTTAGTTCAAAGCTAGTGCTCCATTGAACAATCCTGAAAAAAACTCTAAAACATTAAAAGTATTTTAAAAACTCTAAAATCAGGACAGTAAATAAAGTAAATAAAAAAACAGGGGAATTCCAGACAGGAAACAATCAGGGCCAGCTAACACCTCCCAAAAAAGGATCCCCCCCCAGGCAGAAAGCAGCCAGAGAAGTGTGAATGTTGCAATTGGCCACCTTGATTAGCATTGGATGGCCTTGCAGCTCCCAACAAAGGATTCCCCTAGGCAGGTAGTATTCAGGCTTTGAAGCTGCAAGACCATTCAGTGCTAATCAGGGTGGCCAATTGAAACATTCACACTTGCCTCAATCAGAAAAGAATTATTTCTCCCACCCTGGGCATTCCACAGATATATAAACATCACTTGCCTATTGTCGAAGGCTTTCATGGCCGGAATCACTGGGTTGTTGTAGGTTTTTCCGGGCTATTTGGCCATGTTCTGGAGGCAATTTTTCTCTTGACATTTCGCCTGCATCTATGGCAAGCATCCTCACTATCTCTGAGGATGCTTGACATAGATGCAGGCGAAACGTCAGGAGAAATGCCTCTAGAACATGGCCCTATAGCCCGAAAAAAACCCACAAGAACCTAACATTTGAATCGATATCATTGTGTGACTTGGAACAGTTTCTAACTCTAAAGCAACGATATCAAACTCCCCTTTTCTCAAGGGTCACAGCAGTTGAACCCATAGGTGGAGAGTACATGTATACAGAGGGACAACTACCGTATATACTCGAGTATAAGCCGACCCGAATATAAGCCTAATTTTACCACAAAAAACTGGGCAAACATATTGACTTGAGTATAAGCCGAGGGTGGGAAATGCAGCAGCTACTGGTAAATTTCAAAATAAAAATAGATACCAATAAAATTACATTAATTGAGGCATTAGTAGGATAAATGTTTTCAAATATTTACATAAAACTGTAATTTAAGATAAGACTGTCCAACTCTGATTAAACCATTATTTTAACCTTCTTCAATGTAAATGTGCTTACATATCCTTCCAATAATAATAAAGAGAGCAAAATAATTAATGTGAAAAAATAATAATGTAAATGTAATAATAATAATAAATAGAATAAAATAATAAATGTAATCAAAACAGTAATATATATAGAGTAAAATAATAAATGTAATAAAATAATAATAGAGTAAAATAATGTAAATGTAATAATAGAGTACGATAATAAATGTAATAAAAATAATACTTATAACAGAGTAAAGAATAAATAACCTTGACTCGAGTATAAGTCGAAGGGAGCTTTTTCAGCCTAAAAAAGGGACTGAAAAACTAGGCTTATACACGAATATATATAGTATACATTTTTTACATTGTTTAACTATTTAACTACAGCAACTAGGATAATATTTGCTAAAAAAAATGGCATCTGAAAGAGACACTCAAAAGAGAAGAATGGCAAAACAAGATTCTGGAGATAATGAATATGGATAAATTAACCTACTGGTTATCGTCAAATCAAGGGACCCCAAAGAAACACACAATACAAAATAGAGATTATCATCTTAAAAAACAAAAGGATATCATAATTAAAGAAGAAACAATGGGGAAGCAAAATCTTTCAAAACCTAGAAAAAGACATTAAAGACCACCAAAGACTAGATCGAAGTCAACAATTTATTATTACTTTTATTATATTTTTTCCTTTCTCTATATACATTATCCTCTTTTCTTACTACCTCTTTAATCTATAACAATA